AACACTCAAGAAGGCAATTACGATTAATTGTCGTCGTATGTTTGCAGTAATTCCTGTATCCCATAAGTACTGCAAACTCCTGTGCATGTGCTACCCTATCTGCCATTGCTCTCTGACTATATCTCTGATGACGAATCCGCGACGGATATCGAAACGTCAGGCGAATAAAAGTATTGTTCCAGCGATCGAGTCGTCTTCTCACAATTGCAGTTCCCTCAAGTGCATTGAAGTCGGTAGACAAGAGCTAACTTCTCCTACTTAGGGAAGGAGGGTTAAGCAACGTGATCGGTCGTCGCATAAACTTTGACCCCAAACGGTGATCGCTAGAGCCGCACATTTTAGTGCGTATTTGGTTGCATAGCATCTACGTACTGCACTCTTTGTGTTTCCATCGCCCGCAACTGTCTCTGATCGTGAGCTCGAATCAGAATCCAACATCTCCGGTCAATAAATTTCTTGTGACACCAATCGCTTCTTCCTCTGAAGTACTTCCCACAACTCGCCTTTTCGTTTCTATTAGTCATCACCCTTGTTCATGAATCTTGATAAGACGCCTTCTTCCTTGGCAGGTGCTGGACACGGAAAAGTGCTGGTGCAACAAAGTGGCTCTCCTATCATAAACGTGCATCGCCCAACAAAATTTAAAGCTATATCATATTACAACCACATGCCCCTTCATCAATCGTTTAGATGAAAACTTGTCTACCTGGCTTTGGTGCAAACAACAGGCTTGCTAGCGAATTTACTGTAATTCATATAATAAGTTTTCACAAAAGCATGTGGATGCTTGTTACAATGCCGGCACAAAGACGGCGTTTACTTTAGGCCAGAAATAACAATTTTGGAAAATTGAAAACGGGGGAGGAGGGCCGCGGTGGTTTGGCAGCCGTACGTCAGAATTGATTAAAACTAGAGTCTTCCGACTCAGATGAATTACAGGCACATATTAGGCAGACAACAACACGTACATAGATTCGGGTAAACTATCGTTCTGGCTGACGACAAAATGCAAGGGGCGGGGGGAGGGGTTCGGAAGCACAAGAGCGGCAGAGGTGACAACTTTGCATGCGTTGACACCTGTGAGGTAGTCAGCCCTCCGGACACAAGACTAAGCTGACGATTAGACTGTGTCACAAAAAATTTAAGCCGATAACACCGTCGTAAGCAAAGAGGAGTATCAGTACGCCAGAGGCGTTTTCTTTTAGTCAGGCAAAGTTACGTGGTTGTGGTACAAGATCTTGGCTTTGGGTAAGAGGCTGTTCTAGGAACCTCTCTTGTAGGTGCGAGAGTGCAGGTGTGTCTGTCCCTGACGCTAACAGACGCAGGTAAGGAAGTCGGGATTTGGAGCAGACATACCTCGGGACAGAAGACCTACAATCGGGCATGAAGAACCACAATACGAAGGTACGTTGGACGAC